GGACGGAATTAAAGAGCCTCTGAAGGACTTCAAGTACCGGTGTTCCACCCGCTTTCAGAAGCTCCGCTGTAATTCCATCCTCGCCCGGGGCCTTGCCGTTTTTAAGGTGGTGGAGAGCCATTCTAATATCGCTCAGACTGACGTCCGGGATATCATCGGAATAGTGTCGGGTAAGACTTGCTCTTGGATCGTTACTCACACTTGAATGTGGCTCCAACGATGATGTGTACAGCTGCCCATTGAACCTCTCAATCTCACTCAGAATCTCAGGTGTCCCGGAAACTATGTTGCCACACTCAGTCTTCAGCTTTGACCGTTGGCTCTTTCTGGCAGACAGATCTCTGGCAAAGACTTCGGAGCCCTGGTTCCGCTCAATCGCTTCTTTAATACGAGTAGTATTAAAGTTGCGTAAATCTCACCGCATGCATTAGGAGATCTGTCCTTTCAGTTGCCTGTATGCTGTCAAATCTGTTGACGATTGCAGCCTCATCTCCCGTCTAATAGCCATGAGATTAAGAGTGTGATCGGAGAGTTTTTGTGTTCTTCTGCGGTGGGTCTTGCAGAACTTAGCTCCGACCACATGGACAGTTTTCATATCGTCCACTGCATTGCAATCTTCTAAGCCCTGAAAGCGGTTACGTAACTCGAGCCGCAAGGTTTCGGGATTCTGGATTAGAGCACGAGGAGGACGGAGCGTTGACTTCATTAGACGAGACCTCTCCAACTTAACGTTTAGGTTCAGTGTGCCTCTAACCATTCGGTGATCGCTGCCAGTTTTCACCCTTGCGATCACTGAGACATCACTGAACAGTTGGCGTCTGGTCGTCATAATGAAGTCAATCTCATTTTTTGTCGAACCGTCGGGGCTCGACAAGGTCCACTTCCTGTGGGGCCGCTTCTGGAAGAAAGAGTTTATCATAAAGAGTCCCTCTTTCTCCATAAAGTCGGCCACCTGCTGGCCCCTTCGGCTCCGTTGCCCTATTCCAAATTTCCCTACCTTCAGCTCACCGCTTCCTCTTGTGCCTAGTTTTGCGTTTAAGTCTCCCATCAACACCGTGTAGTGGCTTTTGGAGGAATGCATGGCTGGAAATACCCTCATACATCTCGACAACCTCCTCTTCGGGATGTGCCGAGGTTGGTGCGTAAACCTGTATGACCTTCAGCGAATACCGTTTGGTGATTCTGAGTATCAGGTACGCGAACCTCGTCGACACACTCCCAATCTTTACAACGTTGTTGACGAGAGACTTGTGGACAATAAATCCGACACCTCCTTGGGACTGATGGTCGCCCTCCCGGCGATAGAACAAGTTGCCGGACTCAAGGATTGCCGTGTCCTCCCCCTCTCTTCGGACCTCGGATAATCCAATAATATGCCAGCGCTACTTGGCTACCTATTCTTCCAGCTCCAGTATCTTCTCGTCAGTCCTCAGGATGCGTGCGTTATATATTGCCAGGTTGAGTCGTCGTAGGTGGCAACCAAACCTCCACCGGAAATTCTTAGCACCCCCTGCCCCGCCGTTACCATGGTCGCCACCGTAGCCAGGAATAGCGGGGCCGCCGGGGACTGGGGTCCGTTTGTTTGCGTCGTTATTCATGGGGGATATTTGCCATAGTTGCCACGCTTGGCGAGCGGGTTGGCAACGGCAGTTTTTTATTATATCACAGTTGTTATCAGGAAGATGCTGCTGCCCATCTCCTGCTTGTCTCCCTCTGTCGCCTCTTACGATACCCACGGGAAGATATGGCGTAGTGGATATTCTCAACCGCCACTACACGCAAACAAATATTTAGTTGATTTATTATATAGTCCAATATTTTTGCTGATGATAATGAATGTTATTACTGTGATCCTTAAATGTTCCTATACAGCCACAAATTAATACATACATACATAAACACTCACGCCTGTCACCCAGAGGGGCAGAGACTACAGACTTCCATTTGGCACGATCCTGACACACCTCTCTTGCCTCCTTCACATCCATACACCTACGCATACATGCTCGCCAGTTAAGGGTACTCCTAATTTGGCCCGTTTTCAATAAATCGCCAATTTGGTCGATAAATTTTCGCCTAGGACTAGGACGAAGGGTTCCGACTCTGCTATTCACTTCTGCACCATAAATTTTCTTTGTCACTTTTTCCTCATTCATTCTTTCCACATGACCGAACCACCGAAGCATTCCTTTCTTAATCCTGGTCACCACATCATCTTGCAAACCACCACTCTTCTCTTATTACACAATTTCTTACCCTGTCATTCAGATTCAGCCCTAACATACTCCTTAACGACTGCATTTCTACTGCGTTTATTCTACTCTCGTGCTTCTTCTGCCACACCCAACTTTCACTACCATACGTTAAAGTAGGGACCAACACAGCATTGTGAATTGCCATACGTGCCTTTTTCGACACATTTTGACTCTTCACAGTAGAGTGCAAGGCCCCATTTACTCTATTTCCCGCATTCACTCGTTGTTCTATATCCTTATCATATCTCCCATCCCTGATAAATACGCAGCCCAAATATACAAACTCATCTACTTGCTCGATCAACTCCCCTTCTATTCTTATTTCACAAATCGAATCGAATTTACTTTCTTCTCTTTCAAAAACCATAACCTTCGTCTTACTTTCGTTCACTTTCATACCCCTTTTAATGATCCGTTCATTAATGTAACCATCATTTGCAACTCGGCCGCCGACGACGCAAGAATAACTTGATCATCGGCGTACAAAAGGCATTTGACGGTTAACTCACCCATTCTTAATCCGCATTCTTCAACTTTCAAATTTTGCAAACAACTGTCCATAATTTTTTTTATTGTTTAAAAAACGTTACCCCTACACTAAGATTTTCTCTTGTATCGTGGGGGCAGTTTACAAACATAAATTGCACAAGGACAAACATCTAGACCCGGAACAACTACTTGTAGGCCATACAAATACTTGTTCCGTGCGGGATTCGAACCCGCGACCCCCAGCGCAGCCACTCATTGCTAAGCCACTGCGCCACGGAGTCGTCATAGGTTATACAATAGGTTGAACAGCCACGGGGAAGCCACACAGCCCTGTCTGACACCTTTACGGATATCAAACCAGTCCGAGTAGACCCCGTTGATCCTAACACAAGCACTAGAGTCCTTATAAAGAGACTCCAATGCCTGTATCAAGCCAGCGCTCAACCCAAATGAGTTCAGTGTTTGCCATAGAAAATCCCTATCCACTCTGTCATAGGCCTTTTCCAAGTCCATGAACGCACAAAAATCCTTTTGGTTTTTGGCCAGAAAATTCTCCGTGATCATGCGCATGGAAAATACTTGATCTGTACATCCCATTTCCTTTCTAAATCCCGCTTGCACATCCCAAATTTTTCCGTCAGTTTTTTTCATTACCCTTTCAATCAGTACCTTAGCATACAGTGTTCCCACAATGCTAAGAAGGCTGATGCCACGGTAGTTTTACAGTCCTGCTGCGACCCTCTTCCTTTATATACTGGGACTATCACGGCTTTGCACCAGTCTACCGGTACCCGCTTCAGTTCCCAGCATAAATTAAACAAGGTGTGCAGCAGGCCTGCCACCACTTCCTCTCCAGCCCTTAGCATTTCGAGTGAAACTCTATCATATCCGGCAGCCTTACCTGCTTTCATGCTTTTCATTGCTTTCATTATTTCATCTATACTTATCTCGCTACCTCTTTCCTCTTCTTTCGGTGTTTCTATTTCACTTAGTAACACACGTTGTCTCCTTACTCATAAACACGCTTTCAAAATATTCCTTCCATCTCTTTAGTTAGTCACAAATCTGATATGAGAAAATTTACTGTGGGACCTTATTTACGATTTAGACGTAGTTTTTATGTCTACTATCCCTATTGCAAAATGAAAATATGATTATAAAGAAAAAATTAACAAAGTACAACAAAACAAAATGATAGATTTTGCCGTCACCTTTGTTTACAATTTTTAATCATAATAAAAAATAAAAATATAAATTTCTTTGCAACTTTCCGCTAAACATATAAAATGATGTGTCTTACCTGGATTGAAGCGCACCTCCCGCCCTCCCTCAATTGCATACACTAACTCCGTCACCACTAGACCAAGCACCACTACTCTCAACACCACTATTCCAGGCAAGACACACCATCGACGATAATACGACACGTGTTTCGCCTCTACACGAGGCATCCTCAGGTAAGATAGACTCTACGGCTAATTTTTAATCAGGCAGCCCAAGCTGTTAGTATGCACTTACGCAGTCACAAAGTCGAATGCACTATGCAGTAAAATTGTCTATGCTCACGCTCACTCATTGATTTATTATCATAACCTTCAAGCAAACAATAAACTCGTTATGAAAAACTCAAAAAACTATACACAATTCTCAAACTATGTGAGTATAGACAGTAAGGAAAAAACAATTATTTTTAATATCAATTTTCGTAGAATAATTATTAGGCGACAACCAGCAACGAGCAACGGCACCACAGAATAACAAAGCGAAAGCAGTGATGACTGTGACATTACAGTTCTCACTTGACAGTTAAGTGAGATACCATAATGATATTTTTTAAGTGATTGATGCGTTTAGGAATTGTATATTATTCAAAATTTTAAATCTTTAATAGGAGATGCATCATTCAGTTGATACTGACTTCGTGGGTTCGAATTGTTCACAAGTTCCTATTAATCGATTATTGGTTTATTGACATCGATATTTCGATGTTTGACATGTGGCAACATCGGTGTTTTAATTTTTAACGTCGATGATCATCCCTAGTTTCTGTTACTCTTTTTTTTCTGTCACTGTTTCTGTCATAGTTTGACACTTAAACTTATCGTATTTGTTTCTAAACCGTTTTACTTTAATAATATAAATATACTTATTAAAAAAAACTTACTGTTGTGTTAATATTGATTGTTTTGTGTTTTCTAATATGATTACTGAATTATAATTTCGGTTAACTGTAATTAGCTATGTTAATGTATCAAAATGAATTTAGCAGATCCAGAGCTAGAGTTAGTTGATCCAACACCAAATGTACATTCCTTGTTCATACATTTTGATAAATTATTCTTTTGGACCAAATTAGCCAGCAGAGCTGTAGTGCGATGGAGTAAAAGAATGTATTCATGTGCTGGTATTTGTTCGTAAGTAGTATCAAAAATTACTTTGACATGTGTATTTTGTATGAATGTTGAAAATAGTCGTAGGCAAAATAATTAAAATGCTTGACAGCACAAAAGAATCAACATGATTTCGCTCTAAAAAAAACTAAATCATTAATTAATTTAAGTATTTATAAACATCCCAAAAAATTTGAAGTTTGTACTTAGTAATGTATTGAAAAATAAAAACCTAATTTTCAAGTTAGTTTTTACTTTTAAAGTTAAATTTTTAATCTGAGTGGATTAAGGAATAGCAAAGGTTGCAACTAGACTTGTCTAAATGGCTCAGTCTTTATTATGTACAATATTTAAAACTATCATGGTAACTATTCTGCTAGGCAATGTTTTATTGTTTTACATTGAACTGGAAAAGTTTTAGATCTATAAATTAATAATGTTATAGCTCAACAAACTACCTCTACTGCTGAAGATAAATTGCCTAAAATCAATAACTAAAACCAATTTTTATTTTACACAAATTTTGGATTTCTGGAGAAGGCTATTTTTTTAACTCAGTCTAAGAACTCTTTAGATGTAGAAACTAATGGGTGTGACCAGATAGGTCCAACTTGATATACTTCCCAGTAGAAAGAGACAAAAAATAAGATACCAGGAATATGAAGTAGAAAAATAAGAATACTATAAAATTTTACGTATTAAAAAATTGCTGTGATCATATTCAGAACCTGCATCCTGCAGCATGCAACCTGCATATGCACAAGTAACCAGTATAAATTATAAATTGGGATGCTTTAAATTTTTCTAGGTAATTTATTGAATGAAAGAAAAAAAAACAATACCATTATTTGTTATCGAAATATGTACAGTGAAATTCAACCATAAATGTACATACACACACACAGAATTTAACTCTATAAGACCTTGAATCATGGAAATATGTTAAAATTTGGACTTTAAATACTAAATACAGTATAACCATACATAATTTGTTAGAACAATAATTTGTTACAAGTTAATAAATTATGTTTTTAAAAGTTTATGGATCTTTAATGCACCAATGATTATGATGATTTCAGATATGAAGGGAGAGGTGGTCTTTGCGACATTGCTCTTAGTGAACCCTTGCTAAAATTACGTCCAAGAAAAGATCTGGTAGAAACACTGTTGCATGAAATGATCCATGCGTTTCTCTTTATAACATGCAAAAATCGAGATCATGATGGCCATGGACCTAATTTCAAGTTCCATATGCACCGAATTAATAAATTGGCAGGAGTCAACATAACTATTTACCATGATTTCCATGATGAGGTCTGTAATTTAAGTATTACAAGTAGACTTTTGAGTTTAACATTCATTTATATTTTGATATCATTATAAACTGTATCACAATATGTGAAGTATTCATAATATTAAAGTGATTATAATTAAAATTAAATTTATAGCATATCTACTCCCGCTGCTGGAATCCCCTCTCATTTCTGAAATGGTATTTAGGACAAGGAAATGTCAGCCGCGCTGCCCCAATGTGTCTTTGAAGTATTATTTTTTTCCTTTTTTCAGGCGTGCAGGTTTCCTCATGATGTTTTCCTTCACCGCCAAGCATGGGGTGAATCATCACTTAAAATTGCAATTTCATTGGTGCCGGAGGCGAATCAAATACGGGTAGCTTGTGAACTGTGAAATTTACAGCAAGCGCTTACCCCTGAGCTACTATAACACTTTTATATATAGTGATTATATTTTCTTTCAATTGAAATTCTAAAGTTACAAGTATTTGTTCTGCAGGTTCAAGTATATCAAACTCATTGGTGGCGTTGTAATGGACCATGTCAAAGCAGGAGGCCATATTTCGGTATTGTTCGCCGCGCTGCAAATAGGGCACCCGGTCCTAAAGATTACTGGTGGAAAACTCACCAAAAAACATGTGGTGGTTCATTCACAAAAATTAAAGAACCTGAAAATGCTGAAAACAAGAAGACCAAGACCAAGTCAAACACAGACATAACCAAATATATGAATAATAATGTCAAAACCATTGTCAATAAAAACATACCTCATGAAACTAAAAACCCATCTAAAGGTGTTCTGAAAGATAGTAATAATGTAACTGTTATATCTAATACAGATTTCAAAAATAGTAAAATTGTAATAACACAAAATGGAAATTTATTCAGTCCTCAGATCAATAAAAAGGTTTCACCTACATTTAAAGGTCTAATTGATAGCAGAAGAAAAAGAACTCAATCAGCAAATGTTATAGAAACTGTAAGAAATATATGGGCCAATAAACAGTTACCTACCGTGCAGAATGATAAACAAAACAATTGCAAAGGTGCGGTTATCACTAAACCCAGAAATAGTATAATAGATAATGCTGTAATGAAACCGGTTAAGCAAAAAACAGAAAATATTCATAAAGATTCCCCTCCAAACAAAATAAAGAAAATAGATGATTACTTTAAAAAAGTGGCAACAACAGTTCTAAAAGATGTCTATGGCGAAGATTTCCACATTTCACAATCTAAAACTGATTACAAATTAATAGCGAAAGCAACTAAAATGAATCTTGTTGATTGTCCTATTTGTAGTATTAAAGTTAAAGATGACGACATTAACAGACATTTAGACGAGTGCTTGAATAAAGGAGTTATAGAAACGTTGTGCAAAGAGAGCAGTTCTGTAGATACAATTACATCTGAGATATCTAGTAATAAGATGGATTTAACAAAATTAGAATCAATCAAAAAAGAAAAAGTATTTGATACAGTTAATAATAAAGTAAAGAATTTTACACTTTCTAATATTAAAACAGACTGTGTTGATGATTCCATAGACTTAGCTGATGTAAGCTTTATCAAAAAAGAAAATCCAGGTTTAATAAACACCACAGTTATAAAGAAAATACAAGTTATAGATAGCAATAAAACAACAAAAACACTAAATGATGATCACACTTTTGATGTGAAAGACGTTAATAAAGTAAAATTAATAACCAAAAAGATAAATTATGATAAGCATTTACGGAAATCAGGTAATTTTGTGGAACCTGTGATAACAAGAGAAAACAATGCTGACTTTGGTTATCTGCCTTCGTTTTTAGACGATTTAGCATGTGAAATTAAATTACCCACTGTTAAAATTGAACCAGGAAACAGTAGAGATGTAGTTTCTGTTTTAACAGAACAAAAATGTCCATGTTGTGATCGTAAAATAGATAAACCAATAGAACAGCACCTAGATGAATGTCTTGCATTCTTTGACAATAACACTACAATACCAGAGGAGGGTGCTTCCACTAGTTTTGCGAATGAAACAATAGTTATTGATGATGATGACGATATTTTTGATGAGACTCAAACCTTGAATGCTACTGGAACCAAAAGTCCTTGTCCTTGTTGTCTCAAAATGGTTGAACAAGCTGACATGAACAATCACTTAGACATATGCCTGTCTTAGATGTAACTATTATAGCAAACAATAAATTATTTATCTAACTGTAGTAAAGAAGTTGGGCTGTACTCTCTTGACTAAGTTGATCTCATTAAATCATAATTTATTATTTTATGATTTTCAGTCATTAAAAACATTTTCTTGAAATGTGCAACCAATTCATAGAATCTAAAATGGCAGGTCTCAAAAGTAAAAGAGAAGGGATACTGACTGATGTTGTTGATGAGATAAGGCTGGTTATTATTATTATTATTATGTTAAAAATGTGATATTATTTAATTAGTGATATGATGTGATAATAATGAATAAAATTTGAAAAAAAAAAATAATGTTAATGATTATGTTGTTTTTTTAAGTTGAGAATTTACGGTATTGGAAAAAGTAATAAACTTCGAAACACTAAAAAAATTTCTATACATTATGTCTTTGCATTGCTGATAGTAGCAGTGATTCAATTTAAACAGGATTGTCTTGCTAACAAGAATTTAAATTGTGTCCTCGCTTTGCCCTCAGATCTAAAATACTCCTATATCATCCCAGCGCAATTTGTGTCTATCTCTTCTTCAGACTCCAAGACCTTCTCCTTAACTCTGAAGATGTTAGATGTTGCCTAGTCAAGTCGTCAAAAGTGGCAACTGATCCTCTGACAGAGAGTTACATATTCCGTCTTGCTGTTATAACAGTTGCCACCGAAGTCCGTAATAGCAGCATTGCCAGGGGCTGTCAGCCATTATTTGTATTCTAGTTTATGGTATATAGTGATTGATCTAATCATTAAAAATAGTTTACTATAGACATCTTAAAACTTCGTTGATTTTGCAAAAGATACATCCACAGGGCAGGTTAACTTTTGGTTTCTCGGCGTTAAAGAACACTATTCTATATTATCTCGAGAGACAGCAAAGCTAAACTAAACTAGATCAGCTAACATAACAGTAGAAACCCACTTGCCAGGTGTGACAACTATGGCGAATATCCCCCTATGAGGCAATCTATGATCTATGGTCTATGTTCAGCAGTGACTTAACTTAGAGCAAACACGTAAGAATAAATGAAACCCTACGTTCCACACCACACGTCCCCTCTATGTAATGTATGCTCTAAGACTTTAATTGACTGTAAGCGGTAACGGTATAATAATTAGGTTAGATATAGACAAAACAAACTACGGATATTCCTAAAAGAAGACAAATTAAAAAGAGAGTAAAAAGTATGTAGAAACGAAAGAACAAACCACTGAGGTATTGTTTTGTATATTTACATACTCTAGAAACTGATAACTTATTTTAAAACGCGATTTCTCAATTATTATAATGACATTGTTTAACAAATAACTTCACATCAATTTATAAATTAAACCAAAGTTATTAGTACTGATGCAACGAAAGTGTCGTAACGGAAGCAGAAACAGAAGTCAAAAGTAAATTTTAACAGAATCAAAAACGGAAACGGATGCAGAAGCTGAAGTGTAAATACTATGTCAAAAGAACAATTTATGACAAATGTAATTTTTTATTAAATTAACAGACCACCCAACCTAGGATGGATGGATCTGTGTAAATTAACATTTAAAATTAAGTACCGGTAAGCTTATTTTGTGACCTAGAAATATGTTTCAGAGTTCTTCATATATAACAATAGTTCGCTAATTTCTACTACACACTCCTGAAGGTGGATTACGCCTATAAAAGAAATTGTCACTCTTGTTACTGGTGCAACATGGATTCTATCATTTGTAATGACGAATTCATCTTTGATGATGACGTAGGTTGGCCTTGATTCTTAATTTAAGATTGACACCTTTGTGGAAAGGTATGCTGTCATGAAAGTTCCGATCTAATTTCCGTTATAAAAGTTGCGGAAACATGCAGAAACGGAAATCAAAAAGCGTGCAGAACTTCCGCAGTTGCGGATGCAGAAGCAGAGATCTGTCGTATCACTAATTATTAGCCCTCATTTAAAAATATTCTTAGTATAATACGTGTACTTAGTACTTACATGTATGAGTGGCTTAAAAAGAAGCCGTTCTTCATCGGATAGAGCGTCTAGAATCTTGTTGTATCCTTTCACCACAGCCAGTACGTTTTCGTAAACGTACAGCAACGTCTTACTTTTCATATACACCTTTGAAAAAAATTTATTCCTTGCATCTTAATGCCGTAAGACGGTGAAACCGTTTATGTTATTATTTAGTTATTCTTTCTAAACTTTTTATTTTGTTTGAAGTACTTAAGTTTATTTACCACCTAGGATATGGATAGGTAGGTACCAGCTTATTTCTATCGCCAAACATCATCATTACAGCCACCACACCAGATCACTACTGAACATAAGCCTACCTTCAGGAATGACACAAAATACGGACCTGAGCCACTTGTATTAATCGACTCTTGTAGGTCTTACCAAGTCGTCACATCACTGCATTTAATGGGCACCCAACCTTACTTCGCTCCGGACAACCTTTCTTTCGTATCGGTTGTCGGTTTTTCGAGCTATATGGCCGGCTCGATGCCACTTCGTATACCTTCATTACGAAATTCCAAGCATAAGGCCAGGAGTGAATGACCGTGTCTCATGTCTCTTCACGGCGCCAAATATCAATTGGTTGCATTTGCTGTTTTTTTTTGTAAATGATATTGGAGTGACAAAAGTGTAAATAAAAGTAATTATTGCAGCCCATGGACACCTAAAACCACCTTTTTCTCTTAACAAAATAACGTTACCTCGGCACTAGGAATTTACCTTGTATATATAACTAAACTGCCTCTAGGCAGTTTAGTTTAAAAACTAATTGTACAAGGACAAATATCCAGACCCGGAAAAATTATTTGTTGTTATAAACACTTGTTCCGTGCAGGATTCAAACCCAAGGCCCATAGCGCTGCAACTCAATACTAAGGCATTGCGCTACGGAGCCTTTAAACAAAAAAGGCTATACAAATGCGTTGTTATTTCTAAGGTGAGAGGGAATGTCTCACAGAGTGTGGAACCAAGTGCAAGCACTGCTATCTGGTGGCAGAACTATTTCTGCCACCACTACCATACCTATGTATAGTGGTACCCACCCGGACGGACGCCTAGGTAGAAAAAGTCCTTTTCAACAATGATCCCTTATGAAGGTTAAGAAAGTATTATTACGAGATGTACTGTAATTTATGTTATTGTTACCGCCGCGCTGGTATAATGACGTTGACGAACTTAAGTGTCATACTTTATTTCTCAGATATGTAGGCTTCCTCAAGATGTTTTCTTTCGCCGCCGAGTACACGGTAAATCAGCACTTAAGCTGCCATTATTAATTTCATTACTGCCGGCGGTATTCAAATCCAGGTTGCTCTGTTCTGTATTTATGGTAAGTAATTAGACCTAAGTACTACGGTTATATTCATCTCCTTTACAGAATGTGCAGAGTTGCATAAAAATTAATGGGAAGCATCTTTAAATAAGCCATATTTATGCACTGTGCAGGCTGTAGTACTGAAAAATGTGACCATCTTAAGTTATAAAAACTATACCTAGTCTTAAATGTTTATGCTCTCAATTTGTCAAATTCGTATCTACTCGCATCTATCTACGAGGGTGGATTGAAAAGTACTCGGCCTAACACAGATACATTCAATTCTAAAAATCAAATCTACCCACATTATTTAGTTCAGTTAAGACTAGTTCATTGTGTGAAGTTCGAAACGTGTGCGATAATTAGTTGTGATTTTATAAATTTATTAACAAAGTAATCTGACATAATTTCCGCGAATGGAGCAAATCGAGCAGCGTGCCGTCATTAAGTACCTCCATAAGAAGGGGCTATCATCAAAAGCCATCCATGATGACATGGTCAGTACATTAGGCGATTGTGCTCTGTCATATTCATCCGTCAAAAAATGGATAGCAGAATTTAAGCGTGGTAGAGAGAGTGTGAAAGATGAACCCCGCTCTGGAAGGCCTTCGACGTCAACTACTGACGAAAATATTAAAAAAGTACTTGATTCAATAATGGGAGACCGCAGATTAAAAATTAGAGAGATAGCCGAGATTATAGGCATCTCTTATGAACGAACTCAAAACATCATTGTCAACGAGTTGGGTTTCCACAAGGTGTCTGCGAGGTGGGTTCCGCGACTGCTTTCAGTTGAACTAAAAAGGACGCGATTGACTATTTCACGCGACTGTTTGGAGTTATTTGAAGCCGATGCAGATGATCTTTTAAATCGTTTTGTTACTATGGACGAAACATGGGTTCATTACTGTACACCGGAAACAAAACAACAATCAAAACAGTGGAGAAGACCTGGTTCACCACCCCCTAAAACGGCTTAGTCGATTTTGTCGGCAAATAAGGTGATGGCTTCAGTATTCTGGGACTCGAAAGGTGTGATTATGATTGATTATCTTGAAAGGGGTCAGACTATAAACTCTGATTACTACTGCACCTTACTGCGTCGTTTACGAGAGGAAATAAAAGAAAAACGTCGAGGAATGCTCAGAAGAAAAGTCCTGTTTCATCAAGATAACGCCCGTGTTCACACGTCAGTACAGTCAATGGCTGAAATTCACAACTGTGGCTTTGAACTTTTACCGCATCCGCCGTATTCACCTGATCTGGCACCATCAGACTTCTTTCTGTTCCATAACCTAAAAAAGCACTTGGCAGGTCAAAGATTTTCGACAAACGACGAGGTCAAAGCAGCTGTAGACGCATATTTTGACTCTAAGGAAGAATCATTTTTTTTTCAACGGTCTAAATGCTTGGAAGGGGAGGTGGCAAAAGTGTATTGAACTTGATGGTGATTATGTAGAAAAATAAAAATATAACTGATTTAGTATGTGTTTATTTTCTTGGTTAGGCCGAGTACTTTTCAATCCACCCCCCGTATCTAACCGTTTCTTTCGTCACATTAACACTACCCTACCTGATATGCATGCACTGGAATGTCTAAGCCTAAGTTCTCCCAATGAGCGGCTTCTTTGCACAAATCTAAAATATTTCTGAAACAAAATAAAATAATATATTATATAATTTGTTAGGTTTGACCGAGAAGTGGCGATGGAAGAGTATCCACACACACGGGAATTGAAACAGAAGATTGGCAGCGACATCTTCCTCATAATAACTCAAATTTTTTTATAGAAGAGGTGGCAAACGAGCATGCGGCTCACCTGATGGTATAGCACAAATGGGTAGACTCGACCGGGAGAGACCACCCTCTCACAGAATACCAACGTAAAATAGCAGCTTAATGCTGCTGTGTTTCCTATGGTGAGTATAGAGAATCGGACACGCGTTTTACTGGAACTGGCGAATTTTGCTTCTGCAATTAAACAATTTCTTAGAGCAAACTCCGTAGGAAATACGGTAGAAAATGCAAAAGGATGCAACATCTCTTCGCAGTGCCAGTGAATCGAGCCGATCGAAGAGGACTAGGTTATCGACGATGAACTGATATACTGCTGGATGCGGTCAAGTTGCATTTGCACTTGCAGTTTGCGGCACAGGAGAGATCCGGCCCAGAGATGGGAACACTATTCCATATGAGGCCGAACTACGCCTTGTCAAGTTGCAAGCGGTGTATCAGCATGAAATACTGTCCCGCTCTGCTGAGCACGATAAGCTTTTTAGAGGCCAATTTGGCCTTCTCTTCCCAGTGACCACGAAACTGCACGTCATTGGATATGTTGACGCCGAGGATTCCGATACTGGCTGAGGCAACAAGGGGAGTGCCTTTAAACTGAGGAGATACGACAAAGGAGTTCTTTTTAGCGGTAAACGAGCAATCTTGTTTCTTCTAGTGATTGAACTGGACTAAATTTAGTCGCACTCATTTCGACACTTTGTAACTTGACATAGAATCGACTTCAGACATAAGTTTATCCCGGTACTCGGTAATGGCCGGTGTATAAAGCATCATCAGTGTTGTCATCCGCTTAGCAATGTACGTGACCGGTTTGCAACATATCATTGATATGCAGAAGAAAAAGCGTTAGTGATAGCACGCAGCCTTGTGGAACACCAGCATTGATAGGTTTGTAATCGGAGCTTGCACCGTCTACTACGACCTTGACGCTCCGATTTGCAAGAAAGCTGGTGATACTATTGCAAAATTTCGTCGCATGTCCATAGGATGGAAGTTTCGAAAGAAACGCTTTGTGGCGAACTCGATCGAAGGCCTTCGCTTTGACCAAACTAACGGCCTATGCCCTTCCCCTAGGACTCTAATGCCTCCGCCCATTTATGAGTCAGTTAGACCAAAAGATCGCCAGCTGATCGACCGCGACGAAAAATGTATTGGCCGCATAAGGTACCATGAGGCATGAGATGGCAGTTTATAAATGGACTCCATTATTTTGGAAAACAAGCAGGTGGTAGCGATAGGCCTGTGATTAGACGGGGTTTAGCGGTCGCCTTTTTTAGGGATCGGGTGGACTAAAGCTTATTCCATGCAGTGGGGACTACGCCTAAGGAGTAGGAGTATCGGAAAAGGCGCGTTAGGACCGGTGCAAACTCTGGAGCACACGTCTTCAACACAATGTGAGGGGAGTCCATCACACCCAGTCGACTTGTTGACGTCCAGGGAGAGGAATGTTTTGCGAACTGAGCTCTGCACGGCACTCACACTGCGTGATGGTCGGTGGTGTGTTCCCTCCGTCATCAAGAGTCGAGTTGGACATAAAGAGAGAGCCTATCAGATAGGCTTTCTCCTTTGCGCCATGAGCCAGTGAGTCGTACTCCCTGTGCAGAGATGGGAGAGATGGCTGACAGAAATTCCCTTAGACATCCTTGAAGAAGGAAGGCGAACTAGTTTCTCGCCAATTCTGCCTCTGCCTTGACAATGACTCTTTAGAGGACCTGGAGGCGGAATCATACTTCTTTTTTAGGGCGCTGGTGTTTATATCCCGGGACGTTGATGCGTCAATCCAGGCCCAATAGCACTCCTGCTTATAGCATGATACTATTTCACAGGAGCGGCTAAACCATGGCTGAGATCTACCACCGATGGGTACCACAAAAGATGGAATAAAAAGTTTCATACCTTTAAGTACCGCATTAGTGACACAATCAGCAACAACTTTGGCATCATCCGACGAGAAGAAACCCTTCCCCTAGGGTACCATGCAAAAAAGACCGCATTCTGTTTCAATCGGCCGACCTGTAGTGCCAAACACAGTGGAAACTAGCAAAATGTTACCGCGAAGTTAGCGTGGGTGGCTCCACGTTCCGGACTAGACAGTGTTCTGAGGATCCAAAAGGGGCGTCGCTGGGGATCCGATATCCGTACGGATAAGAGGTCAACAGAATCCTCCACAACTGGAATTCGCGTAAGCGAAATAACCACTTGTGTGAGACCATATGCCAAGGCAAAGTCATACTGCCTGCATGATCGGTTAAGCGCGACCCAAGCCATACAGCGTGGTAGACGTTAAAATCACCGAGAACCATGATCTCTGCGGATGAAACCTGTTGTAGCACAAAGTCTGTAGCCATTTGAACGTGGTCGATAAGTCGGTCTGTATTGGCATTACCGCTATGGGACCTATAGAAGGCACGCGTGGATGCGGGGATGTTCGTCGCTGTCTACGCGCAGCCATAGTCTTCATTTAAATCGTTTCGTAATTTAGTTGTCATTTAGTCGTCATTTAGTCTCGGTCAAAAAGAGAAAGACCAGCTTCGCTGTCTCCAGATGGTATTGGACGGCGTTAAGGTTCGAATGAAGTTCCTTGCTGTTGCAGAAATTGCGTGGCGGGAGTCGCCTTTGTCTTACTGCTCCGCTTGCCCTGAGCTGCCACCCTGAATACGTGGGGCTGCCTGAGCACCTACGCTCAGGAAGATTAGGGTAGCTTGGGCGCGGATGCTCAGCGAGGGATTCTCCGTCACCAGTGGTGCTGGTACCCTCTTTGGGAAGGTAGTATCTTATTTAACTCCGCTACCATGTTAAGGGAGCCGGCCACCTGAACTTACCAGGCGAAACGCAGAAGTAAACTTCTACTTCACGCTGATTTTATATGAGCTTGTAGTACCACCCCGGTTCGAGGCTTGACCGAGAATTGAATAATTAAAACGCGTAGAATATAGTTGGCAGTTTCTCATTATTATAAATAACTTATGACGTTGTATATGTCGCGTGCCACAAAAGACAGGCGCTAATTAATTTAGAATATGATATATTTGAAACACATTTACTAACACATCTATGTTGCATTCCATCAAGCCCTCCTTTTCAGCGCTCTTTCGCATCAACGTTCTGTTTAAGCCCGCTCCACATTTGTCATCAAGGTTATGCTGAAAATTAAAAAGAAACAAATTAGTTAAGCTCTTAAAATCTAAATTAGTTAAGATATTATTTAACTAATTAATATATATAAATAAAATTTAAGTGTTTATCGAGTCCAGAGTCCAGAGGTTCATTTACATGCTATTGACATGAAAAAACAACATGAATAACCGTTTGTAAAATTTTTGTCTGTCTATCCAGGCTAATATTTGGAATGGCTAAACCATTTGTGATGAGATTTAATCTAGGCTATATTTTATTCGAAAACTAGGAGCATTTTATTTCTTAAATCGATGAAAAATTGGCAAAATAAGGATCATTGCTGATTATTCTAAACTTCTTACTGGATAATGGCTTGTTTTTAATATATTGGATTTCAGTAAAAATAATTCCCGATGTACCAAATTTCAACTTTTTTTTGGGTTAATAATATATATTAACCCAAAAAAAGTTGAAATTTGGTTCATAGCTCAAACGGCCAAACCCTATTTTAGGACAAACTATTTTTTCTTAGATTATGTCCGACTGGGTCTAATACAGGTCTGTTAAGCTGGAATGGTCATTTGGGCAAAATCTCTTCAATTTTTGCTAAATATTTAGTGCTCATTTAGTGCTGCAAATTTAAATTTCACGTCAAAATAGCTTTATCAAAAATTAGAAAACTGCTAGCTTTTAATTAAGCTAGCAGTGTTCTACATATTAAATCGATAAGCACTTAATACAGCAACAAATAGAAGCATCAATAATTTAGTGCTTATTTAATGCTGCCGATATACACAAAAACAAATATTGGGAAAATATATATTTTTTTTAATATCATAAATTCTGCTACTTTGACATCTTTAGCAGAGTATGTGATGATACCTTGACATCCAAGTGGATTCTCACCTAATGATATAAGATAATAATTTAGTGCTTATTTAGTGCTGTCGATGTACGCAAAAACAAAACTTGGGAAAATATTTTTTTTTCATAAACTCTGCTACTTTGACATCTTTAGCAGAGCATGTAATGAAAAAATTGACATCAGAGTGGGCTATCACCTAATTATATAAGATAATAAATTAGTGCTCATTTAGTGCTGTCGGTATACGAAAAAGGATTTGGGAAATTATTATTTTTAAATACCGTAAACTGCTACCTTGACATCTTTAGCAATGTGATGAAACATTGACATCCAAGTGGATTCTCACCTAATGATATAAGATAATAATTTAGTGTTCATTTAGTGCTAATTTAGTGCTGCAAATTTAAATTTCACGCCAAAATAGCTTTATCAAAAATTAGAAAACTGCTAGCTTTTAATTAAGCTAGCAGTGTTCTACCTATTAAATCGATAAGCACTTAATACAGCAACAAATAGAAGCATCAATAATTTAGTGCTTATTTAGTGCTGCCGATATACACAAAAACAAATATTGGGAAAATATATATTTTTTTAATATCATAAATTCTGCTACTTTGACATCTTTAGCAGAGTATGTGATGATACCTTGACATCCAAGTGGATTCTCACCTAATGATATAAGATAATAATTTAGTGCTTATTTAGTGCTGTCGATGTACGCAAAAACAAAACTTGGGAAAATATTTTTTTTTTCATAAACTCTGCTACTTTGACATCTTTAGCAGAGCATGTAATGAAAAAATTGACATCAGAGTGGGCTATCACCTAATTATATAAGATAATAAATTAGTGCTCATTTAGTGCTGTCGGTATACGAAAAAGGATTTGGGAAATTATTATTTTTAAATACCGTAAACTGCTACCTTGACATCTTTAGCAATGTGATGAAACATTGACATCCAAGTGGATTCTCACCTAATGATATAAGATAATAATTTAGTGTTCATTTAGTGCTAATTTAGTGCTGCAAATTTAAATTTCACGCCAAAATAGCTTTATCAAAAATTAGAAAACTGCTAGCTTTTAATTAAGCTAGCAGTGTTCTACCTATTAAATCGATAAGCACTTAATACAGCAACAAATAGAAGCATCAATAATTTAGTGCTTATTTAGTGCTGCCGATATACACAAAAACAAATATTGGGAAAATATATATTTTTTTAATATCATAAATTCTGCTACTTTGACATCTTTAGCAGAGTATGTGATGATACCTTGACATCCAAATGGATTCTCACCTAATGATATATAAGATAATAATTTAGTGCTTATTTAGTGCTGTCGATGTACGCAAAAACAAAACTTGGGAAAATATTTTCCCTCTACTCCTCCTAGTTTTGGTTTAATAGGGCGGCCAAGCTTAAGGTGACCATATTACCGTCACGTACCTTAGTACAATTTACTGTTAGTGTTTTAGATTTAAGCAGTTCGATTTTTTTTTCAACACTAAAAAATTAATTAAAGCAAATTATTATAAAAAATATATTGCACATCGATTTCTTATACATTAATCATCCAAGTTTTCCAATCATCATCATCATTACAGACCACCACAAGTCCACTACTGAACATCCTGATCCATAGACTTCCGCAAAGCACGGTCCTGATCCTGAGCCACTTAGATTTTCATAACCTTTTTTGTTTATGTACTCAGTTATAATTACTAAGTTATGAAATGAATTAAATGAAAAATAATGAAATGAATGACCGAAATTGGCTGATTTATTCCTAAAGTTAAAGATCTGTATATTGCGGGTTTGCGGGCCTGTTTAGCATTTGGTCCATTGGAGAATAAGACTCAGATTGATGACGAAGGATTTAATGACTGGAAAAAGAGGTATTTTAGAGAAAAAAAATTAAAAGTTCGGTGATCCTAACGACGGAAATTATTGTATGATTAGGAACTGTTAGTCGAATTCGGTCCTTTAATAGCCAGTCATATTGAACGATTTGGGATTCAAGGACCCGGCAAAAGTTAATCGCTGAAAGCGGGTAAGGCAAAACGTTAATGAGAGTAAATCTGACACGTAAATTCGTCAGCTGGAGAGGACACGTAGAAGTTTGAGAAATTCTTGGCACGAAGTCTTTAAAACTTTGGACTCAATTAAGGATGATTGTACCAAAACGCCTGCATCACGAAATAAAGCGACGGGAATACTTATTTAGAAAAACTGTAAACAGCGGTAATGGTTGTTTTGTGGAATGTTGTTCTGGAAAGAATAAACAAAGTTAATGTTCAAATTCAAGCTTCTACCGTAGATTTGATCACTGTTGCCAATCTTTACGAATCTCTTTGCAAGTTATTCTTAGCTGAACGAGAAAATTTCAACTATTTTGAAGAAACGGCGATGGAATTAAACGTGTCGATCGAAGCATTATACAAAAGACATGGGAAAAGACAACCGAAAAGAAAATAAAATGAAACACCAGATAGAGAAATTAAAATGACTACGAGTGATATTTTCAGTGTTGACATATTTCTTGTCTTCATTGAAAGACTCGTATCCGAATTAGCAAAACGGCAGGACCCCATCAATAAGTTCAAACAAAAGTTTTCAGTTCTGACCAAAATAAATGAATGAGGGCCACGACTTTTTCTGCCACCAGGGCGGCGCCACTAGAAAGTGTATTTGTATATGATTAGTGTATTGACAGATTTCATAGTGGGGAAGTTAATTTATTCGGAAAATGTAAAGGTTATTGTTTCTTTCTGTAATATTAGCTATATTTTATATTAATAAGATTAAAAATAAATAAACCAACGCACAAATATTCACAAAAGTAGAAAAATTAAAAAAAAAAGTTAAAACAGCCCAAAAAATTAAAAAGCAAACTACTGACGCATTGTTTTGTGTATTTATATAATACTCTAGAAACTGATAAACTTTTATTAAAACCCAATTTCTCAATTAAATGACACTGTGTAACTAAAAACTTTACCTCAGTGTCAACTAGCGATATTTGGTGAGCAGAAAATTATTAGCCCTCATTATTATCTATATATATATATATAATATATATATAATATATATATATATATATATATATATATATATATATATATATATATATATTATAGTATAGAAAAATAATAATTTCGCAAATCCTTTTTCGTATATCGACAGCACCAAATGAGCACTAATTTGTTATGTTATATAATTAGGTGAGAATACACTTGGATGTCAAGGTATCATCACATACACTGCTAAAGATGTCAAAGTAGCAGAATTTATGATATTAAAAAAAATATATATTTTCCCAATATTTGTTTTTGTGTATATCGACAGCACTAAATGAGCACTAATTTATTATCTTATATCATTAAGTGATAACTCACATGAATGTCAATATTTCATCACATACTCTGCTAAAGATGTCAAAGTAGCAGAATTTATGATATTAAAAAAATATATATTTTCCCAATATTTGTTTTTGTGTATATCGACAGCACTAAATGAGCACTAATTTATTATCTTATATCATTAGGTGATAGCCCACTATGATGTCAATTTTTTTCTTTACATACTCTGCTAATGATGTCAAAGTAGCAGAGTTTATGAAAATAAAAAAATATATTTTCCCAAGTTTGTTTTTTGCGTACACCGACAGCACTAAATGAGCACTAAATTATTATCTTATATCATTAGGTGAGAATCCACTTGGATGTCAATGTTTCATCACATACTCTGCTAAAGATGTCAAAGTAGCAGAATTTATGATATAAAAAAAAGATTTTTTTCCAATTTTTGTGTTTGCGTATATCGGCAGCACTAAATTAGCACTAAATTATTGATGCTTCTATTTGTTGCTGTATTAAGTGCTTATCGATTTAATAGGTAGAACACTGCTAGCTTAATTAAAACCTAGCAGTTTTCCAATTTTTGATCAAGCTATTTTGGCGTGAAATTTAAATTTGCAGCACTAAATTAGCACTAAATGAGCACTAGATATTTAGCAAAAATTGAAGTGATTTTGCCCAAATGACCATTCCAGCTTAACAGACCTGTCAAATACACTAGCCATAGCACTAGGGTTGCCAGATGGTCGGATTCGTCTGGATTCTCCCGACATTTTAAATGATCTCCAGACTCCCGACAAAAT